CTACCATGCCTGGCTAATTTTTGTATTTTTATTAGAGATGGGGTTTCACCATGTTGGCCAGGCTGGTCTTGAACTCCTGACCTCAGGTGATCTGCCAGCCTCGGCCTCCTCAAGTGCTGGGATTACAGGTGTGAGCCACCGCACCTGGCCTATTTTTTTGTTTATTTTTAAAAACAGGATCTTGCTATGTCACCCACGCTGGAGTGTAATGGCTATGAACAGTCTCAATCATTGGGCACTGCAGTCTTGAACTCCTTAGCTCAAGAGATCCTCTTGCCTCAGCAGAACTACAAGCATCCGTCACTGTACCTGGCCACTTTATTTTAATAGAGTTTTAAGTTGTTGTTCTCTAGTGCTGCAGAAAAAAGTCTCAGAGAAAGATGTTCTCAGACCTAAAAATGCTCCAGTAGTTAGCTGTTGGGAACAGGCCCCAAAACTGGCCATTAACAAAATCTCTGCAGCACTGTGACATGCTCTTGATGGCTACGATACCCACACTGAAGGTTGTGGGTTTACCGGAATGAGGACAAGGGACACCTGGCCCACCCAGGGCGGTTTTCGCTTAAGGTGTTCCTCAACTGCAAACAATAGCATGAGCGGTCTGTGCCTCAAGGACATGTGCCTGCTGCAGATAACTAGCCAGACCCATCCCTTTGTTCCCCTGTTTTAATCTATAATCTATAGGAACAATGCTTATCACTGGCTTGCTGTCAATAAATGAGTAGGTAAAACTCTGTTTGTGGCTCTCCGCTCTGAAGGCTGTCAGCCCCGATTCCCACTCCACACCCTATATTTGTGTGTGTGTCTTTAATTCCTCTAGCACCGCTGGGTTAGGGTCTCCACTACTGAGCTGGTCTCAGCAGTTAGCCCTGTCACAGTAATTCCACAGCCACTAGCGTCCTGATCTTGTTATATGCTATACATTTTCCTCCTCAGGAAAAACTCAGACTCAATCTTCCTAATACTTGACCTAACCTTGCGTACATCTGTGCCTGGGGATAACCATTGATGTAATATTAGGGAGAGCAGCTGGGGAAGAGAAGTACTCACATACACCCACTGTATATGTGACAGGTACCCCACTGGGTATGTTCACTTAACATCATCAGGGAAAACTAAGAGTTCACCAATACCGTTCTAAGGGGAGGAGAGTCACTTCTCCATATTTCCTATTGCAGTAATTCACACATTGAAACTCATGTGGGGTCAGGATGAGCACCCAAAACTAGGCAGGCCCTCCCACGCTTTCTGGGAATTCTAGGGGACAGCTAAGGAGCTCACACTAAAACAGAAGCCCTCCCGCCTTGGGTCAACACCAGAATCACCAGAAAGCTTACTTGAAATGCAGAGTCCCACATACACACACACACTCTCTCTCTCATTGAGAAGGCTGGGCTAACGCGCTCCAGGCAATTGTGTCACAGGCGGTCCACGTTCCACACTTTGAGGAGCGGTGCACCGAAAAGAGGGGGATTTTTTTTTTAAATGACATGTCAAGGTTTTATATCTGAAGTCAGCTATGGATGCTTAACTGAAATGTAGTCATTTCTACCACTGCTCACTATTTAAAAGGCATCTCACTCACCACCTTCCTGGTCTCTTCACACACTTGCTGCCCATCATTCCACTGACATCACTCTCGGTAACCGCCACCAGCTCACTCCTGCAGCTGATGTCAGTCATCAGGATCTGGGACTTCCCAGTGCCTCTCACCCCACACTCCCTCTTTCTTCCTTTCCACGCTGGCCATCTCCCTCGCCCTTCTCCTTTTGCCTCCTCAGCTATTCCGGGATTCCTTCTTCAACCCTCTACCTTTCGCATTTCACACCCCCTTGAGAGACAGCAACCTCCCCCAGTTTCAATTCTAACAACTAGAAATTCTGTCTCTAGATCCAAAATTCTACCTGCCACTGGCATCTCTATGTGCCTCCCCAGTTCAAGTGATTCTCCTGCCTCAGCATCCCGAGCAGCTGGGATTATAGGCATGTGCCACCACGCCCAGCTAATTTTGTATTTTTAGTAGAGACTGGGTTTCTCCATGTTGGTCAGGCTGTTCTCGAACTCCCGACCTCAGGACGGACCTCGACCTCGAACTCCCGCTCACCTTGGCCTCCCAAAGTGCTGGGATTACAGGCGTGAGCCACAGTGCCCGGCCTGTTTTTGGTCTTTTTTTTCTGTTTGTGAGACAGGGTTTTACTATGTTGCCCAGGTTGGACTTGAACTCGTGGGCACAAGCAATCCTCCTGCCTTGGCCTCCCAAGTAGCTGGGACTACAGGTGTGGGCCACTGCACCCAGTCACAAACTGGCCCATCTGAAAGCTTACATGTAACTCCTACAGCTCAGACTTCAGCTTCTCTTCCTTTAGAACTGAGAAACTATTCAAACATTACCTCCCACCCCAAGTCCAGCTGGTTCTTGTTGCTTCCATGACCTTTTGTGCCTTTATCTCACTGTGCTGTAATCTTTTTTTTTTTTTTTTTTTTTTTGAGACAGAATCTCACCCTGTTACCCGGGCTGGAGTGCAGTGGCACAACCTCGGCTCATTGCAACCTGCACCTCTCGAGTTCAAGTGATTTTCCTGCCTCAGCCTCCCAAGTAGCTGGGAATTACAGGCGCCCACCACCACTCCCAGCTAATTTTTTTGTGTAGAGACGGGGTTTCACCATGTTGGCCAGGCTGGTCTCGAACTGCTGACCCTCAAGTGATCCCAAAGTGCTAGGATTACAGGCGTGAGCCACCGTGCCGGCCTTTGTGCTGTAATTTTTTATGTGCCCGTCTCTTCCACAAAACTGCATAGTCCTTGAAGATGAGAACGGGATCTTCCTCATCTGGTATCAACAGCCTTAGCACAATGCTGGCACACCGAATGCACTTAACGATTGCTACATAACAACTCACATACTTTTTTTTTTGAGACAGAGTTTTGCTCTTGTTGCCCAGGCTGGAGTGCAATGGTGCGATCTTGGCTCAACACAACCTCTGCCTCCCAGGTTCAAGCGATTCTCCTGTCTCAGCCTCCCAAGTAAGCTGGGATCACAGGCATGAGCCACAATGCCCGGCTAATTTTGTATTTTTAGTAGAGACTGGGTTTCTCCATGTTGGCCAGGCTGGTCTCAAACTCCTGATCTCAGGTGATCTGCCCACCTCAGCCTCCAAAGTGCTAGAATTACAGGCATGAGCCACTGTGCCTGGCCAACAACTCATATACTTTTAAATATTTCTTCTAAGGGAAAAAAAAAATCTCATTTTTTTTCATTCAAAAGAATTTAACCATATGATGAACACTGTCACCATTTCAGTAAGGCAAGTAAATGATTCAACTTCATCAACACTACTGAGGCTTAGGTTTTCTTTGCTCCACTAAACAGATGCTGAGGCTCTGCTAAGGCTGCTACATAATGTCTGACACTCCAAACAAGCATGACTTTGCCTAACTGCCACATATACCTACCTGGCTGAGCAGACCTGCTCAGCACCAACACCAGCACTCATCATAAGCACTGGGTGACAGACACTCTAGCCCATGCTCAGACTGGATCCCAAGGCATCTGCTTTGAGATCAGTGCCCCACCCAGCTGCAGCCTGCTATAAACCAAGCCAGTACCTTGCAATCTCCTGGTGGTAATCATAGTGTTCGTCCTCCTCCAGCCACTCCACAGACCCTGTGGTCGGATTGGCCCGACTGCAGAAGATCTTCATGGTGCCCACGAGCTCCCCAGTTTTAGCACAGAAAAGCAGCCTTGCCAGTTGAGTTCTTGTGGACAAGTCTGACTGTCAGAAACCTATTAACATCAGAAGGAAACAGGAGGTGTATAAACAAACGAACAGAAAAAAATCTATTAACAGCATAATGCCACAAAATGTGGAGGGGAGGGGAGACAAAAACTGGGGGGAAAATCAAGAAACCGACAAAAATGTCAAAGCCACTGGCAGTATTTGTTAATCAATATTGTAAATGTTTCCAGCAGGAGTTACTTGGTTTTATATCCAGCGTATAACATTTAAAAAACTACAACAGATTTATACAGATGTCTGGAAACTTCAGCAAGCTTCGGTGCTTCCAAAAGGGTCAAATGAGCCTCACAGGTTCATCCAGGTGCAGCCCTCAAGGCTAGGAGGAGAAGAGATGGGGTGCTGGTAAAGAAGCGCCACCAATACTGCCTTTGTATCCTGAACCCTTAGCTTAAGGAAAAATATGAACATAGAGCAAGTCAAACCGGGAAAACTTTCATCTAAACAATAAATCACAGCAACACATAAACCTAAAAATGGATAACGGAATATAATGAGAATATGATGATGAGCAAAAACAGCAAATCACACAACACATGCAATACGACTCCATTGCTATGAAATTTATAGCTATGCAAAATGGAATGATACATTCTTTAGTAATCACACTAAAAAGCATAGCAGGGAATCAGGACAGTTCACTTCTAAAAGAGAAGGGAGAGATGGGATCAAGGAGGGGTACACAGCAGACTTCAAAAGTATTGTTCTTTTTCTTAAATTGGGTGGTGGGAACATAAATGTTCATGATATTACCATTCTTTTTTTTTTTTTTTTTTGAGACAGAGTCTCGCTGTGTCTCCCAGGCTGGAGTGCAGTGGCGTGATCTCGGCTCACTGCAAGCTCCGCCTCCCGGGTTCACGCCATTCTCCCGCCTCAGCCTCCCAAGTAGCTGGGACTACAGGCGCCCGCCACCACGCCCTGCTAGTTTTTTGTATTTTTAGTAGAGACGGGGTTTCACCATGTTAGCCAGGATAGTCTCGATCTCCTGACCTCGTGATCCACCCGCCTCGGCCTCCCAAAGTGCTGGGATTACAGGCTTGAGCCACCGTGCCCGGCCCATTCTTCTTATTTTTAAGATGGGATCTCGTTATGTTGCCCAGGCTGGACTCAAACTCCTGGGCTCAAGCATTTCTCCTGCCTCAGCCTCTCCAGTAGCTCGAATTACAAGTGAGTGCCCTACTCCCAGCTAATACTAGCAAGTAAAAAAGTTTACTAGTAAGTAAACACGGAATTCTTACACAAATAGATGAGAAACAGGTTGGGCTTGGTGGCTCACACCTATAATCCCAGCACTTTGGGAGGCCAAAGCAGGCGGATCACCTGAGGTCAGGAGTTCAAGACCAGCCTGGCCAACATGGTAAAACCCGCGTCTCTACTAAAACTACAAAAATTAGCCAGGCATGGTGGCGCACATCTGTAATCCCAGCTACTCGGGAGGCTGAGGCAGGAGAATCGCTTGAACCCGGGAGGCAGAGGTTGCAGTGAGCCGAGACCGTGCCACCGCACTCCAGCCTGGGCGAGAGAGTAAGACTCCAACCCCAAAACAAACAAAAAGCAAATAGATTAGAAACAACCTTCCCTGAACAAACTCAGTCAGAGAGTCAGGTTCAAAGTAGACAATCTGTCCAGGTAAAACTCTACTTTTAAAATCCCAGCATACCTATTCTCAGTCTAATGGCTTTCAAACTTTCTGATAACCCCAGTAAGAAATATACTTTACAATGAGCCTCAATACACACACCTGCATATACGCATGTAACTAAAAGTTCCACGAAACAATACTGACTTCCTACGAACAAGGCCCTCTGATACGCTCTATTTCATTTCTGCTGTTTTTAAGAGATGGGATCTCCCCGCTGTCCAGGCTGTAGTGCAGTGGCTATTCACAGGCATGATCATTATACGCTACAGCCTTGAACTCCTGGACTCAAGGTCCTCCTACATCAGCCTCCCAAGTAGCTAGACTACCGGCATGCACCACAGCACCCAGCTGCACTTTTACTTGCTGGTCAGGACCCATCAATGGGTTGCAACCAGCAGTTTAACAGCATTGCTATAATCCACTTTATCTCGTACTAACACTTATTTTACAGATAGAATATCTAGAACTATCAGAATCTGTAATGTGCATTGGAAAACTGTGTCCAACAAATGCTAGAGTAGAGAAAGAAATGGCCATATCTGGCTGAATGTTCAGGGAAGGCTTAAAAGGTGGATTCAGCTGAGGCACGAGGAGAAGGTGGGGTATGTGGAGGGAGAAGGCATTTCATCCAATTAGAAAGGCTTGGACAATCACGCACATTAAATCAATCAGTTTGGTGAAGTAAAACTGGACCAGGTGTCAAACATTGTCAATAAGCTCCACATGGTAGAGTCCTGAAATACTAATCCTGTGGTCCACGTGGAATCAATTCTGAAGTTACTTAAAGGTTAAGAGTGATCCTTTTGTAATTCACAAGCGTGATGACTGGATGTTCATGCGCCTGTGTCAGACGTGCCTCCCCTCAAACCTTTACTACACTGGCACGTTACCTATCTGAAGTGGAGGAAAAAAAAAAACATATAGTAAAGAACTTTAATCCATAGGATTCCTTTCCTGTCTGTGATGTTGCTGAGTCGAACACCAGGACCACAGTGTTTTCAAAACCTGGAAGAGCCCAGGCGTGGTGACTCACGTCTATAATCCCAGCACTTTGGGAGACCAAGGCAGGTGGATCACCTGAGGTCAGGAGTTTGAGACCAGTCTGGCCAGCATGGCGAAATCCCATCTCTACTAAAAATAAAAAAAATTAGTGGGCGTGGTAGCAGGTGCCTGCAATCCCTGCTACTTGGGAGGCTGAGGCAGGAGAATTACTTAAACCTGGGAGGCGGAGGTTGCAGTGAGCCAAGATCATGCCACTGCACTCCAGCCTGGGCAACAGAGCAAGACTGTATTTCAAAAAAAAAAAAACCAACCTGGAACCATGTCTTGTGTTAACAATTTTATGAAGGCACGAACCTCTTCTGGTGGGCACTACACACCTTCTCTGGCTAAATGCTCTCATCCATTATTATTTGTCCTCTCCCAGAATAAGTCTACACTACAGATTCAGGAGATATTCTCTGATCCCCTCCTCATTCTCCAAGAGTTGTAAACTCGCATGGCCATTTACAAGGAGGAAATAGAAACCACCATGCCAAGCCCTAATTGTATTACCCGTCAAACTGCAGAGCAGATGGTCCTTAACATTCATTCAAAATGTGTTTGCTAGGGTGTGGTGGCTCACACCTGTGATCCCAGCACTTTGGGAGGCCGAGGCGCAAGGATATCGGATCTGGGAGTTCCAGACCAGCCTGCGCAACATAGTGAGACCCTGTTCTCTACAAAAAAAAATTTTTTTTAAATTAGCCGGGCGCGGTGACCTGTGCCTGTAGTCCCAGTTACTCGGGAGGCTGAGGTAGGAGAATCACTTGAGCCCCGGAGGCGGAGGTTGCAGTGAGCCGAGATGGCGCCACTGAACTCCAGCCTGGGTGACAGAGACCCTGTCTTGAAAATATATATGTATACATTAAATATACATACACTAAAATTAAAAATTAGCCGAGTATAGTGGCGCATGCCTGTAGTCCCAGCTACTCTGGAGGCTGAGGTGAGAGGATCGCTTGAGCCCAGGAGGTCAAGGCTGCAGTGTGCCTTGATCACACCACTGCACTCAGCCTAGGCAGCAGAGTGAGGCTCTGTCTCGAAAAAAAAAAATGACAAAATTGATTGAATACCTTCTACGTGCCAGGCACTATATTAGGGACTGGAGCCACCACCACAAGCTAGAGAAAACCCTTGCCCTCCAAGAGCTTAGACTAATGAGAGAGTAATACAAATTACAGACTACATGAATGCAAGAAATACACAGAGCGTTGTAGAAAGAGAAAACCAAGGTTACAGAAGGACTCTTTGAGGAAGGTAGCATTTGAGATCTACAAGACAGACCAGGATAAAAGTTGGGGAAAAGTTTTTACAGGTCAGGAATCCTTACCCCAACTTTCCCAAGAAAAGGCCCTAAGGTAGAAAAAACTAGGTGCACAAGCAAAATATGCCAAAAGCCTGAGCGACCGAAGCACTTTTGCAGAAGCCCCCACTCCTCATCTCCTATCACATCTTCTGCTCAATCAAGCTGGGCCTTGTCGACTTTGGAAAGGCGTTTCGATCTTGTTCCAAAAGCAGTGGGAGCCACTCAAGAGGTTTAAGCAGAAGCATATCTACACTGGACGTACGCTTTTACAGAACCACTCTGGCTGGCATGTAGTGAATACATGACTCTCCAATTACTCAGAACACAGTGAGCGGGGAAGACATCAGCAGGTCAATCAGAGAACTCGTGGCCCAGTTAGGGATGCGATGGTTGGAGCTACTCCGGTCTCTAAGGGGAGGCGCCAGGCACCAGTACTGCAACCCAGCCCCGCGAGCGGCAGGCACCCGGCTGGACTGCAGAGCCGGGGTCAGCCTGGAACCCTGCTCTCCTGCAGGCCAGGGTGCTCCGAGCTGCCCCACGCGGACTCTAGAAAGGTCCCCGGAGTCCAAGTACGCCCACGCCAGGCTCCTCTGCCGAAGCCCTGGTGCTAAGGACATGATGCTGGCTGCACCCCGAACCCCAAAGCGACCCCACCTTCCCCGCATACCCAGCGCCTCACCTGCTGCGGAAAACCCTTCGCTCGCCTCCTCTGCTACCACCATTTTGCCGCGTCCAGCATGCGGGGCGGGATCTATCTGCGCCGAGGAGCGTGCGAGGGGCGGGGGGCGGATCCCAAGGCAGAACTAGAAGGCTATCCCATCACACCCCGCGCGTTCCCACAGTGCTCAGCGGCAGCCACTATGGAGGCCGGCAGGACAGCTGTGCTGCGGGTGAAACGGAAGCGCAGTGCGGAGCCAGCCGAGGCTCTTGTGCTCGCTTGTAAACGCCTCCGGAGCGACGAGGTCGAGTCGGCGGCACAGAAGACGTCGGAGGGTTTGGAGAGAGCAGCGGAGAATAATGTCTTCCACTTGGTGGCCACTGTGTGCTCCCAGGTATTGGGCGTGGTGCAGTGATGTGGAGGGCATCTTAGGGTGCAGCCGTTAGGAAACCCGATCCCTGACCCGCTCGCGAACTCCTGCTTACGCTGGCCTCCCTCCCCTGTTGCCCCCTAGGAGGAACCAGTCCAGCCTCTCCTGCGGGCAGTTCTGCGCCCGTCACGGGACAGCCAGCAGCGTGTCCGCTGCAATCTCCGCGCCTCGGCTCGGGAGATCCGGCAGGAGGGCCGCTACCGGGTGGTTTCCAGCCGCCGATCCTTGGGGACCACCTCGAGCGGCCAGGAGTCCGAGTACACGCCGGGGAACCCAGAAGCCGCCGGGGACTCGGGCTTTCAGTTGTTAGACCTTGTCCACGAGGAGGGAGAACCTGAAGCCGCCGCTGCAGGCTCCTGCAAAGTGAGTACGCCTCGGAAGGTGGTCGCTGGGCTTCTCAGGACGGTAATGCCAGAAGACTGGGCCCAGTAGCAGCACAGTTTCATCTTAAGGGGATGCATGATCCATCCGGCTTGACGGCCTCATTTTACAATTTTGGTTATTCATCCAACATGTGTTTACTACGTGCCTACTAAATGCCAGGTATTTTTTTTAGATTCTGTGGATACAGCAGTGTGAACCTAACTTGCAGGTAAACAGGAACAGTAAACAAGTCAATTCAGTGTCAGATGATGATAAGGGATGTAAGGAGGCGGGGAGACAAAGCAGAAAGAGTTGTGCCACTTCAGTGAAAGTGTCACTGAGAAAATGACATTTGAGTGAAGACTTGCAGAAGGTGAATGGCAGGGCATTCCACATATAGAGAGGACTTCTAGGCAGAGAACCTGAAAGTAAAGAGGCTCTGAAGGCGAGTTTCCCTACTCCTTGCAAGGTGCCTGGAGCCCGGTGAGCTAGAGGAGAGCAGTAAGGAATTTGAGGGGAGGAGTGCCTGCTAGACACTCTAGGTACTTGTAAGGAAATGTCTTTACAAGTCCTTTCAGCCTGACTGAGATGGGGTCACTGGAGCAAAGCAGAGAGAGAGCAGGTAGGAAAATTGATCAAAGAGAGCTTAAAGGAATAGTTCTGGGTAGCATACCCAGTTTGAGGTAGATTGAGGTCTAGAATGCAAGTCTTCTAACATTTAATCCAGTGCTTTTCTTTATATTACATTTGCTAAATTCAGTTGCACTCACTTCCAGAAGAAGTCTATTACATGCAGCGAAACTACAGAAATGGAAAATTTTCCTCGAGGCTGGGCACAGTAGCTGACGCCAGTAGTCCTAGCACATAGGAAGGCCCAGGCGGGAGGAACACCTGAGCCTAGAGAGGTCAAGGCTACAGTGAGCCATGATTGTGCGGCAGTGGCATTTCAGCCTACGTGACAGAGTGAGGCCCTGTCTCAAAAAAAATAAAATAAAATTCTTCTTGTAATCCCAGCGCTTTGGGAGGCTGAGGCAGGAGGATCGCTTGAGACCAGCCTGGGCAATAAAGCAAGACCTTGTCATTACAAAAAGAAAAAGGAAATTAGCTGGGCATGGTGGCATGCACTTGTAGTGCTAGCTACTGGGGAGGCTGGGGTAGGAGGATCATTTAAACCCAGGAATTAGAGATTGCAGTGAGCTATGATCAAGTCACTGCCCTCTGGTTTGGGCAACAGAGCAAGATACTGTCTCTAAAAAAAACCAGAAAATTCTCAACATAAGGTGTGCCTTTTTTTTTTGAGCTGGACTCTTACTCTGTGGCCCAGGCTGGAGTGCATTGGCATGATCCTGGCTCACTGCAACCTCCAACTCCCGGGTTCAAGCAATTCTCCTGCCTCAGCCTCCCAAATAGCTGGGATTACAAGTGTGAGCCACCACATCCGGCTAACTTTTGTATTGTTAGTAGAGACGGGGTTTCGCTATGTTGGCCAGGCTGGTTTCAAACTCCTGGCCTCAAGTGATCCGCCCACCTCAACCTTCCAAAGTGCTGGGATTACAGGCATGAGCCACTGCACCCAGCCAATTTGCCCTCTCTTGATAAACATTTTTATAGAACTCAATCATTTTTGAAACTTAAAAAATTACAATTCAAAATGAATCCACAAGCAACAAGCAAATGGTACTACTGTAATTGTTTATTGTTGTTGTTTTTGTTTTGTTTTGAGATGGAGTCTGGCCCTTGTCGCCCAGGCTGTAGTGCAGTGGCGCGATCTTGGCTCACTGCAGCCTCCACCTCCTGGGGGTTCAAGTCGTTCTCATGCCCCAGCCTCCCGAGTAGCTGGGATTACAGGCGTGAGTCACCACATCCAGCTAATTTTGTATTTTTAGTAGAGACAGGGTTTCACCATGTTGGCCAGGCTGGTCTTGAACTCCTGACCTCAGGTGATCCACCCACCTCGGCCTCCCAAAATGCTAGGATTACAGGCATGCGCCACCGTGCCTGGCTGGTGCTAGTGTAACTGGATAGCAAATTGTGTATGATGTCCATAGCAACATCTTTCACCAAAACATTCCAGACTAATGCATGACTTATAAAATGTGTAAAGTAAACTAATGCTCAGTGGAATTGAATCAAGTAAATAGTTCATTAGGCCAGGCAGAAAACTAGGAGATAAACTGATGATGGATATGAACAGAGATTTTTCCAGTAAAGCAATACCGACTCTAAACATACCAAAAATGTTTGCATAAAGTAATTATAGGGGGAAAAATGAATTTAAGCTTGAAGCATGCTTGAGGTTTTATGCATACTAGACTAGCAGGAAAAAAGTAGTTGATAGCACTGCTGGCAAGGCAGTGATTAAAAGTGTATACAATTGTAGGAATAAAATTGATGCAAGCCTTTTGGAAAACAGCATGGCTTTACAGGGGTGGGAGCCATATTTTTACATCTGTAAACTTATTATTGTTTGGATCTAAAGTCATGCATAATCTAGGAAAATTTTAAAATTAACACTTTCTAAGGAAATTTTAAAATGACAGCATTTCTGTTATGCTACAATGAATTTCTCCTTAAATTGACATAATTTACATTTTAAGCAAATAAATTCCTATTAGATAAATTTAATAGGAAATTTAAAAATTAAAGGACTTCAGTTCCTTTTAACTAGTAGTCTCACCTCCAAGATTTATCCTAGGGAAATAATTCAGCAGAAGCAAATAGCTAAGCTATGATATTAACGAAAGCTACCATTGATTGACTAAGTGATTATGTCAAATAGTGTGTTAGGTACTTGTTATATTTTCTTTTAATTAACTCATTTAATCCTCACAAAACCCTTATGAGTTAGATACTTACATCTCCATTTTCAAATGCAGGAAATGGCACATTCATTGCAACACTATACGTGGAGGTTAAAAATTGTATCCAAGAGATTGACACATGTAACTGTCTGCACCCTTAGAACTGATAACCGTGAAGACAGGTTGTAGGGGAAAATATATATGTTTAACAGTACAAAATGCTGTGTGTAGTGTAACTGAAAATATGGGCTGGGCTCAGTGGTTCACACCTGTAGTCCCAACACTTTGGGAGGCCAAGAAAGGAACACTTGAGCCCAGGAATTCAAGGCTGCAGTGAGCCATGATCATATTGCCACCTTCCAGCCTGGGCGACAGAGCAAGACCCTGATTCTGAGTGAATGAATGAATGAATGAATACACATAGACATAGACTTTAAAATAATTTTCAGCAAGGGCACGGTGGGTTACTCCTATAATCCTAGCACTTTGGGAGGCTAAGGAAGGAGGATTGAGGCCTGAAGTTCGAGACCATCCTGAGCAACATAGCAAGACTCCATCTCTGCAGAAATAATAATAATTATTTTTCTTCTAGCTAAGAGCAGTGGTGCACACCTTTAGTCCCAGCTACTCAGGAGTTTGAAACAGAAAGATCACCTAAGGCTCGGAGTTAAAAGCCAGTGTGGGCAACATAGTGAAAACCGCCTCTTTAAGCAATAATAGGCCGGGTACGGTGGCTTATGCCTGTGATACCAACACTTTGGGAGGCCAAGGTGGGTGGATCATGAGGTCAGGAGTTTGAGACCAGCCTGACCAACATGGTGAAACCCCGTCTCTACTAAAAATACAAAAATTGGCCAGGCATGGTGGTGCGCACTTGTAATCGCAGCTACTGAGGAGGCTGAGGCAGGAGAATTGCTTGAACCCGGGAGGCAGAGGTTGCAGTGAGCCGAGATTGCGCCGTTGCACTCAAGCCTGGGCGACAAGAGCGAAACTCCATCTCAAAAAAGAAAAAGAAAATAATTTATACTCATTATAGGAAATTTGAAAAAATACAACAAAGGAGAAAATCTCCCATTTTACTACCAACCCAAAAGTAGGTAGAATAGAACTGGTTTCTTTCCTTGTACAAAATTCTGTATCTGTCATTTTTCTGTATTGCTACTCCTGTACTTTTTTTTGAGACAGCATCTCGCTCTGTTGCCCAGGCTGGAGTGCAGTGGCATGATCACAGCTCGGTGCAGCCTCCACCTCCTGGGCTCATGTGATCCTCCTGCCTCAGCCTCTTGAGTAGCTGGAACCACAGGCCTGTGCCACCACACCCAGCTAATTTTTGTATTTTTTGTAGAGACTGGGTTTTGCCATGTTGCCCAGGCTAGTCTCAAACTCCTGGGCTCCAACATTCCTCCCACCTTGGCTTCCCAAAGTGATTACAGGCATGAGCCACTGTGCCCAGCAATCTTGTATTTTAATGGCTGCATAATTTGACTGAGTGGAGGGACTTGTGGATTGGAGCCAGAACTTTTGTAATAGGTAGCTTTAAGTTTGCTCAAGAGCCTGCAGAAAAACTGGCATCTCTAGTTTTTGACTTAGGAGCAAGGAAGAATTCCTTAGTCTGTAAATTATAGCATTGGTCTCCCCTTATATGCCTTGGTCGTGGGATCCTCCCCATTTTCCTGCATGGTGTCTGCTTGGAGCTGTGCAGTGTCCTCTGATGAACCTATCAAGAGGAGCCATCTGCAGCATTTCCCTGTGGTTAACAAACTGACCCATGCCACCAGGCCCCTGGATGACACAGCCTGTCAGCACTGGAGCACATCTTACCTGGGCCATTTCTGTTCAAGGGCATTGCATTTCAAACTGTTCTTTCCAGTAGAAAGACTATAGGTGAGCCCATTCCCAATTTGTGGTTAAAAGTGGGATGTAAATATATGGCAAGCCAAATGATGGGCAGTGGTAGAGGTCACCAGGAAACACCTGTTGGCTTCTACAGGAGGCCACACAGAGACTCATTTCAGGTTCAGCCATAGGGGTGCTACTGTGTGCCTACTGATCCCCAAAGAGAGAGCATTGTGTATTACCAAAGGATCTCAGAAGACCTGTAGAAGCAGGTCTGACTCAGAGCTTGGGGTCAAGACTGGCCAGGTCTTCTGTCTTTCCCCTCTCCTTAGGCCAGTCTTCACATATTTTTTTTTTCTTTCATTGTTTTGAGACAGGTCTCACTCTGTCACCCAGGATGGAGTACAGTGGCATGATCACAGCTCTCTGCAGCCTCAACCTCCCGAGTACCTGGGACTACAGGTGCACACCACCACACCCAGCTAATTTTTGTATTTCTTTGTAGAGGCGGGGGTTTTGCCATGTTGCCCAGGCTGTTCTTGAGCTTCTGGCCTCAAGCAATTTGTCCACCTTGGCTTCCTGAAGTGTTGGGATTATAGGTGTGAGAGCCGAGCACAAAAGAGCAGGAGGCTATTTTGTAGGTTTCTATCTTAAAATAAGAACTACACAGTAATTTTACAGAGATTCTTGATTATTTAATGTAATAACTAGTTAAAAGACTAGGAATTCATGGGGATAAGAATCTTGACCACAACACTATGGAACTGTGGCTGGGCAAGGTGGCTCACGCCTGTAATCCCAGCACTTTGAGAGGCCAGGGTGCGCAGATTTCTTGAGGTCAGGAGATCAAAACCATCCTGGCTAATACGGTGAAACCCCATCTCTACTAAAAACACAAAAAATTAGCCGGGTGTGGTGGCACATGCCTGTAGTCCCAGCTATTTGGGAAGCTGAGGCAGGAGAAACACTTGAACCCGGGAGGCAGAGGTTGCAGTGAGCCAAGATCATGCCACTGCACTCCAACCTGGGCGACAGAGCAGAGCGAGACTCCCGCTCAAACACACACACACACACACACACACACACACAACTGTAGGGAGCCTTCCTTCACCCAACTTATAGGTTCCTCCTCATGGAACATCATGTTTTGGGTCATGCGTGTGTGTGTGTGTAATCTGTGGTTTCTTTACAGACATCTGACCCAGATGTGATCCTCTGCAATTCTGTAGAGTTGATCCGTGAGCGATTGACTGTGTCTGAGGATGGACCTGGAGTCAGGCACCAGGAAGAACAAAAACACGATGACTATGTGTATGACATTTACTACTTGGAGACGGCCACTCCAGGCTGGATTGAGAACATCCTCTCTGTGCAGCCCTACAGCCAAGAGTGGGAGCTGGTAAGGGGGCCCATGAGGAGAGGGGGCTTGAGGCATCCTAGCTCTTTCTCTAATCAGAATGCTTTGCTTCCCTGGGCTCCACTCCTGATCAACATTGTCCTTAGTTCTTTTCCTCCTTAAAAAGAAAAATTTACTCTAAGTGCCTTTTAGGAACCTGACTTTATAGTACAGGGAATTTTGGGAAAGATCATCTTAGATTGATAATTTTTACATTAACGAACATTTTAGAAGGTTTGCAACATCATCTTTGTTTATAGCTATCCATTCTTGGGGGGAAATATGTATATAGGACTTATGAATAAGATAAAGACAAGATAAAACCAGAAATTCTTAATGTGAATGACAACAAAACCTATTTTTTAATTCGTACCTTAGAAGTAGAGAAAACTTTGCATGAAGGAAGCTAACAACCTGACATTATTTTTTTTTTTTCTTTTTTGAGACAAGGTCTCACACTGTCACCCAAGCTGGACTGCAGTGTTGCTATCTGAGCTCACTGCAGCCTCTGTCTCCCAGGCTCAAGCCATCCTCCCATCTCAGCCTCCCAAGCAGCCAGCCAGGAGTACAGGCATGCACCGTAATGCCCAATTTTTGTTGATTTTTTTGTAGAGGCAGGGTCTCACTGTGTTGTCCGGGCTGGTCTTGTGGTCTTGAACTCCTGGGCTCAAGTGATCCTCCCACCTTGGCCTCCCAAAGTGCTGGGATTACAGCTATGAGCCACCACACCTAGCTGACACCATTATCTTTTTTTTTTTTTTTTTGAGATGGAGTCTTGCTCTGTCACCCAGGCCGGAGTGCAGTGGCACCATCTTGGCTCATTGCAACCTCCCCCTCCTGGGTTCAAGCGATTCTCCTGCTTCAGCCTCCCGAGTAGCTGGGATTACAGGTGCATGCCACCACACCTAGCTAATTCTTGTATTTTTAGTAGAGACAGGGTTTTACCACGTTGCCTAGGCTGGTCTCAAACTTCTGACCTCAAGTGATCTGCCCACCTCAGCCTCCCAGAGTCCTGGGATTACAGGCGTGAGCCACTGCGCCTGGCCTATTCTTAAATTCTAAAATGATTAACAAGAAAACTTAAGGTGGCACCTAACTGTCATGCTTAGACTGTAATCGAGAAGCACTGTATCCTGCACCTGCGTTAGGACAGAGAGTTGCAGTCAGGTACCCACCTTGGACCACTGCATGGCCCTTCCTCCTGCCTTTCTGCACCTCTTATGCTTGGGTTTTGGTTTTGACCTTTGGAATTTAAAGGAATCGCTCTTTTCCCTGTGTTCCCTTCTCATGGAGTTCAGCGTGTCCTATCATTCTGGAGCTGGACTCTGGGTGGAAGGAGGCTATTATCTCCCTCTCATAGCCTCTTGTGCAACGAAGTCAAACTAACTCCTAGTCTGCAGTTTTTTCACATGGCACTTTTACATGACATCCCTCCAACTGGTATGCTAACAACTTCCCCCTGAGCATAACCTTAGAGGTTTTGATTTGGACTCATGTTTGTGTTGAGATGTGTAGGTGAATGATGATCAAGAACCAGAGGACATTTACGACGATGAAGATGATGAGAACAGTGAGAATAACTGGCGCAATGAGTACCCAGAGGAGGAGAGCAGTGATGGAGATGAGGATTCCAGAGGTGGGTGGCAGCCCCAGACGGGGAGGGACTGGTAGGATCTGAGACTGAGGTGCAGGCATAGTTGACAGGTGCATCTTAACTGCCTTTCCTTCTCTGCCATTGAGCAATTCGTGCTGTAGGAGACCCAAAGACCAGTGTTTCCCAGGGGCCTCCTGGGGGTGTAATAATCCATCAGGCCTGGATTCAAATCTGTAGTTGTCATTACTTTGCTGTGGCTCTTAGGCAGTTACTTCACCTCACTGAGCCTCATTTTCTCTGCAGATGAGATGGTTCTATATGAATTTTGGTGGTTGAGATTGTGTAAAATATGTAGCTCATTGTCTCTTTCCCTGCCCCAGTCAAGAAACCAAGGAAGAGAGAGGTTTGCCAGTAGGAATAAGCCCAGAGTTTTCACAAATCAGTTATCTAACTTCTCAAAAAACTGCTGCATGTACAACTGTTTTGAGAAAGATGCAACACAGACATAATACCTGGGGGAAAAAGAAAGATGACCTGACAACATAATTCCTGTGGTAACTATGTTAAAGAAGGTAGAAGAAGGCCCAAAAAAAGAATTTATTGGTGTCTGACAACAGAGAAATGAAACAAACAATTGAATATTCTATTGGAGAGGTTTGTCAATAACACGTTAAAAGGAGAAAGGTACAAAAATATTTACAATATGACTACAACTGTTACAACAACAAAAAAAATACTATACGGAGGGGAGAAGTGACAAAATACTCCAGTGTGAAGGAACTTGTTTTAGATGATAGGAAAGTGATTGCTTCTTTTAAAAAAAAAAAAAAATTCTATATGCTTTATTTTCTTTATTGAGCAAGCATTTTGCATTACAATCGGGAATAAAAACAGACCTTTCTGAGAAGAGAAGGGGTTCCTGCAGTAGCCTAGGAAAATCACATTTAGAATCCATTCCCGGGATCTCATTCTAGGCTCTGCTGACTACAACAGCCTGAGTGAGGAGGAAAGAGGCAGCAGCAGACAACGGATGTGGAGCAAATACCCTCTGGATGTGCAGAAGGAGTTTGGCTATGACAGCCCCCACGACCTGGATTCAGACTGATCGTCTTGTGATGTCCAGCCATGAGGTTCTGCCACAAGCCCTTGAGGGCTCTGAGTCCAGGGTTAGCTGCCCTGCTGACATCCTCTTAGGTTTCCTAGCTTAACACGTGCAAGGAAAAGCATATCAAGCATGTCAGGCAGCACCATCCTACCACAGTGAAAACTTATGTTAAAGGAGTGAGTCTTTTCCACTTATAGTAGGGCCCTTTTGCCTCAATCAAAAGTGACCCTACAGTTTGAAAGAAAAAAAAAAAATGTGTAAAAAGGAAGGTTTCTTTAGCTTTAGCTTCTTGGCCCAGGAATTTTTCCTGGCATTCAGGTGCTGTGCTGAAACCACAAGGGAAGGAGAGGTTCCCGTTTCATTAGCAGTAAGTTTCTGCTCTGCCATACCACCAGGCTGCCTGCCTCTGGGAAAACCCTGTTCCTTTTGATCGAATCTAAAAGGGGGACTGTGGGTCCCTTGTAGCAACACAGACTGGATAGTAATGGCCATTAGGGCAGAAAGCAGTCTGTGTGAGCTGTGGGAGATTTCAGTTAACAGCTATTTCGGCTTCCAAACTCTGGTAATAGTTGTGAAATGACTGACTGACTTCCTTTGGCAGTGGGGCCAGGAAACAATGTGTACGAATGTGATACATGTGTTTAGTAAAGTCTAGCTTTGAACATGGAAGAAAGTAATTCTTTTAAAGCCTTTTAAATCTGAATATCTAAAACGGAGTGGTAGGGAGACCGAAGTTTCAGCATTGATTATAAATACCAAGGACTTAAAGCAAAGGAGGAAAAACAAAGCACATTCTGAACTTAGCTTTCCACTGAGTCACGTTTACTCTTCACAGCACTCCCCACAAAAACAAACTACCATCAGCAGGATCAGTTTTATTATCACAACTTGTATCTCTTGTAAGCACACTCTGTTCCTATGCCTTTCCAAACCATAGCTGCCTTAACTGACTGCCTTGGTGTTTATTCTAGTGTAACATTGTCCAGTAGAACTATCTGCAGTGACGCTGTGTTCTGTGTCTGCGCTGTGTAGTAGTAGACACAGGTGGCTGCTGAGCACTTGAAATGTGATTAGCGCAACTGAAGCGAAACTGAGCTTCAGTTTTATTTCATTTTAATGTAATTAGCTACATGTGGCTAGTAGCTATTTCGGACAACAGAACATTCAGCTAGGGCTGTGCCCTCATAGCCTGTGAGTGTCTCTGACTCACTGTCATGGGGGAAGGGAATTTACACAGGGAGATGCCTTCTTGCCACCTCTTTTAGGATTTCCTAAGTATCTCTCCTTCATCCTACCTGCCATCACTTCATGTCCATTTTCTAAACGTTTACCTACACTAGCTCTTATCTACATGGAGTTGTTCAACCTGCCGAAGTGATTAAATTCTGTGTACACAGGCCCTATATATTGCAGCTAATTAAAACAACAAACATCCTAGGTATGCACAAAGGTATAATTCAACATTATAACAGGCAGCAACTTGTATGTCTAATATTAGACATCTCGTTTTCTGTCTGTAGACATAGAAACAAAGGATTGAAAGCCATTCTTGGACTCACAGCAACCAGGTGAAAAAACAAAACACTGCTGTTACAGTGTGCTCCCTGCCATTTATACTCATTAAGTTTCCCCAATATTAAAGGGCTGATAACTTAATAAACCGTACTCACTGCAAAAGGGATAAGCACACCAGGAGAAGGATTTAAGGAGACAGACAACAAAGAGCTGGCAGAAACTAATTCCACCCTGAAGCTTGAGTGCTGTAGGGATTGTCTGGCTTCGCTCCCAAAAAAGGGATCCTGGGAGAAGTCTGTATCCAGCACAAAGGGGAAGAATGCTGTCACCATCCAAAAATGAAAGGAGGATGACACGGCTCACTGAGCAAGTACTAGGGCACCTGGCATGTGAGGTCCTTGCTTTCCCTAGAAGCCACTGGGGGCGGGGGCGGGGGGCAGTAAATTCCTGGGATTAGCTGGTTATCTGGTGGAGAAAGCTAAAGCTGGGGTCAGGGATCTTTCAAAGATCTTTAAAAGGCAAGCACATTTTGCTTAAAGGATTAGCTCCAGAGGAGCCCTGGGATGGGTGCCAGCTTGGCTCAGACAAAAGTCATGTTCTTAGAGTTCAGGCAAGTCAGCCTTTGCACAAGACACCCTGTCTTCGGGCAGGAATTTGCTGTACAAATCCCAAACCCATGACAGTAAGAATGTCACCCCATGCTTCACATATGCATTATGCTCTGAACCCAAGGCAACTGTGACCATGCTTGCTTCAATCTTTATTGAGCAGATATATGGCCAAGGTTATTCCCTTATCTGTGAGTGGGTGAAGAATGGTCAGAAAGGGAGACTGCCTCACTGTTTACCAATTCCAAAACCTAAGAATAAGAAGCCCATGGGGTATGTCAAGCTAGCAGGTTTTTCTGGGCCCAGGATGACAGTGTCCAGGGGCATCACAAAACAGTTGTACAATCCAGTGCAGCCGTCCTGCTCATACAGTAAGATCCATTAGGCCAGAGCAGGCCTAACTTGGGTGGAGAACCCAGCCTGAGCACCAGAATTAGTTGCTTCCACTTGTACAGCCTGCTGAAGAGCCCAACTCAGGTTGAAGCAGCTTTCCTCCCAGTCGTCACTGATCTCCACAGGGAGAAAACAGAAGTCCCCACAAGTACCAAGCTCTTCCTGAGACTGCAGCCACCACACCTCGGGGAAGGGGAGGCTGGCAGGAGAGGAGTACACTGTCCTGGTGACCCCACACCAAGGCGGCTCCAAGTGTAAACAAAGCCTGGTGCCAGGGACAGAAGGGGATGCAGTCTGATGTGAGGTTTTCAGAAAAAGTGAAATGACCTCTTCTAGCACCAGGGTGGGTTTGCTTGGGTCTGCACAGCAGTCCCTCACACTTCCCTTACGGAGAGGTTATTTGATGACTTGGGCCCTTGAGATGTTCTCCAAGCCACTGACAGCTGAGAGAATTCAGGTGATCCACCTGAATTTCAGAAGTTTCAGCCCTCTTAAGAGTTCATAACAGAAACCCAGAGATTTACTGTCAGCTAGAACAAAGATGCAAGGTCTCAAGTAAAATAAAGGATTATCCTTCAAAACAGCCATATTAACAGACTTCTGACTTACGAATTTGTTTATCTGTCCTTGCTGGACCTGAGCCAAGTGCTTGTAACATGATCTATCTATATGCTAAAGTGTAACAGGTACATGAGTAAAAAAATCTGTAAGGTTCATTGTTGCAGGTAAGACTCAATAGAAGATTGTGCTAAACAGCATAAAATCTGTGGTCAGAGTCTGACCCGATACCACAGACATTTCTGAGCCCAGAGGGACTCAGTTTTGGGTACTTTGAATTTTAAATGCAATCAGCCTATTGCATCCTGTAGATGAAGAGACACTCATGCTTCGTTAGAACTGGTGTTCTGGACTAAATATCAATAAATAAGGAACTATAACTCTCTCCCCAGGGAAGAATTTTGAGCTAGAAGAAGAAACGGTAGCATTTCAGGCCTTTAAAGTCAGGTGTTGGACCTGGTCAGAGGAAAACTTCCCATAGAGCAGCCCCTCTATAGGGACTCCTAGTTCAAATCTCAAATACCAAATTCAGAAGCCACCAGCCCTATCAACCTAGTATTCTCTCTTCCCCACTGCACCTTACCAAGTAAATACCTGTAAGAGCTGCCTCTACCTATCAGGAGTAAAACTAAATAACCATTCCCTTGTTCCCCAGTCTTCCCCCCACCCTCTGAAGCCCCCACCTTGAGGTTGGCCCAGATCCTGAGTCTCCTATAGCTTACCAAGAAGAGTGAGCACTGGCCCTGAGCCCCGTTATATGATGTGGGTCAAAAGGCTCCTTTAATTCAGGAGAGTTGGGCCCAAAGAGTCTTGTTACCAGGATTTCGCTGTGTGGCCAGCCTTCCAGGCCTAGGAAAGCCACCTCTGACCTCTAGTCAGTTTTCATCTCATCCTTTTTCTCTTCGGTTACATCAAGCTCAGTCAGGACACAAAAGCAAAGGTGCTGGATGCCTCTGGTGATAGCAGCTGAATGAAAATAGAGCAAGCACAGGATTTAGTAAGTATCTAGCTACAGCCCTAACCTGAACACAAGGCTGACTGGTAACATTTATGGCTCCCTCCCCACCTGCCCCTTGAGTACTCTATATCAGGCTTTGCCCCTGTCTCCCAACAAGCCTCATCATCCTCTGCCCCATTCCCAGCCAGAGTCTGATGCATGACTCTTCTTCCCAGGTGATTTGTGTTGTCAGAAGGTAATGTTTTAGCCCCAAAATAGAACACGAAAATTAGAACTAAAGTGATCATGTCAAAATCAAAAGGGAAGTCGTCGACAGCTGGGTCTCGTGGCCTCCAGCAAATTCTGAGTATGGGGAAGCTATTAGCCACCCCCCCACCTCTGCATGCGCATGCACACACAGCCGCCAGTGAGTAATGGGGCGCAGAGAAGCTCACCCAGGACATTCCGAATAAACAGTGGCCTCTGCGACTCCGGCAGGTAAACACCCATGAAGTAGAAAGGGACTCCAGAAAGGGCAATCGCGATGCCAATGAGGGAATTAATGGTGTCAGTGAAGAGGGGCACTATCACCAGAAACACGGAGCATATGCAGAACACGATGGGGAAAAACACGCTCAGCTGAAATAGAAGGGGTGAGATACTAAGTAACGTGGGGAGAGGAAACAGCTCATGGGCAAAAAGCCACCTGAGGGAGATGGCCCACCCCTCCTAGTCTGCCCAGAGCTGCTGACCTTGAGAGGCCGGGGCCTTTCGGGCTCCTTCCAGCGGAGGTAGAGCTGTCCAACAACAGACAGGCCCACGAAGAACCAGTAGCTGAAGCTGAAGTAGTTGATGAGCTGGAAAACATCCTCCACGATGAGGTAGATGAGCGTCATGGTGCACTGTGGGAAAGCGGTGGGGAGACAGGTGAGCATCGTCACCACCTGCACCCCCAGGAGACTCCCCCACCCAGCAGTCAGTACTAGATCTGATGCCACTTCACCAGATTACCTCCAGCTCTTTTCATTGACCCCTTGGCATCAGATAGGTCCATCCTTGATGTACCCTGAGGTACATTAACCCTCAGGGTAGCAGCTTTCCCTCTTCTGTTGCAGCCATTCCTCCACGCAGTGCCTCCCCCTTGTTGCAAGCACTTTAGAAAAAGGCAGACGCTGAGGCCTTCCTCACTTCAGTGCACCAACCTTAACATGGATTACACAGTGTCCTAGAGAAGGCTTAGACCTGGGTCCCAACTACCTGGCATACAAATGGGGGAAAGGCCTTCAGAACCATCTCACTGTCCTGGGGCCTGAGAAATGCTAACTAGCAAAATGGATCCCTACCTATCTGGACTAAATAATGTCAATAAATAATGGAACATAACTCTCTCCCCATGGACAAATTTTGAGCCACAGGAAGAACTGGTAGCATTTCAGGCCTCTGAAGTCAGGTGTTGGACCCGGAAACTAGCAAAATGGATCCATCCAGACATATAACAGCATTAGCATCTGGAACAAAAGAATCCTAGAAGACAAGGATCAGGGCCTAGAGTCCTGGGACAAGGTCAAATGTGTTTAAATTTCAGTCTTTTCATTACAAATTATCAACAAAGGATTTAAAACAAAATAGCTCATTCTATGGAGATAAGGGAGAACCCT